TCTCTCTCTCTCTCTCTCTCTCTCTCTCTCTCTCTCTCTCACACACACACACACACACACACACACACTCACTCACGTTACATGTGAATAATGCACAGTGAACAGAAGGGTAAAGTGGTTTAAATGTAGTAAATAATCAGTAAAAACATCCCTGTTAATTCAGATAACTGGTTTCTTAATACCTTTTTTATGTCAGATATCATTCTGGCATATTATAAGGAGTTTTGCAGGCAAAGCTTTGTGATGATATTCATGGACTGATATCATAATAGAGAAGTTGTGGGGGCTCCATCCCTGGAGGTTTTTAAAAGGAGACAGGACAACCATTTGTCCAGAATGGTACAGGGTCTCTTGCTTGAGCACGGGGTTAGTCTAGAAGACCTGAGGACCCTTCCAACTCTGTTACTCTGTGGAAAAGTTCAGAAAGTGTTTTGGTCTATTTTTTCCCCTTTTAGGCTAGTTGACTGTCTCCCTTGCACAGTAGGTACATATTGTTTATGTCTCTGCTCTGATGGCCAATTTGTCAGAGTGACAGGTTCCAGGAATTCTCTAGCATTTTTGACTTGGCTTTTGGTCTGTCACAACTTCCCAGTTGAAATTCTGGTGCAGTCTCTCCAGGTGCTTCGAAATAAAGAGAGTTTCCCCCGTGTCTTCTGACTGCTAGTTGGCATTCATGGATGCCTTTTGCCAATCTTCTCCCTCATTGTCCTATGTGTGGTGGCTGTTGCTGTCATTACCCCGGATAAAACCTTGTGGAATTTTGAGTCCACGTTCCTATTTCTTAATCCTTGTAGGAAAGCTCTTTCTGCTAGCTTTCTGTTAGCTAAGGATGCTGGGTTGGACTGAAAAAAAAAAGCCTCCATCCCAACGTGTGTGTCTTGTCTTTTTTCCTTCCACACTTTAGGAAGATCCCTCCTGCCGTGGATAGTCCCATGCCGTCTCCAGCAGCCCATATCAGCAGTCCCTTCCCGTCCTCCGTCCTCCAACCTTTCAGTAATCCCACCTCGGCATACATCCCCTCCGCACCCGTCAGCTCAAGGATCCCTCCTTCTTACGTCATGGCTTCCGCCATGTTACCCAACGCCTCTTTGGCAACGGCGACGGACCCCCATTCCCTAACGTCCCATGCCACCGCCTTCCCGCATGTGGCGGCCAGCCTGAGCATCGTCGACTCCACTTTTAAGATGCCGTCGGCCCTGTCGCCTCTGCCCGCCGTCATCCCTTCCCCATCTCACAAGCCATCCAAAACGAAAACCAGCAAATCCTCCAAAGTCAGAGACCTCTTGTGTCGCAGCGACGAGCCTCCCAGTAACAAAAAGAGAAAGCTGCCGTCATCGTCTTCCTCCTCCTCTTCTTCCTCCTCTTCTTCCTCCTCGATATCTTTGCAGACTTCCTCCACGTCCTCGTTCTCAGGGGCGCACAGGAAGAACTGCGTCTTGAACCCCAGTTCCACCGTCAACTCTTACCCGGCGGCCCCTTCCTATAACAGCCTGTCTGTGCACAACGCAAACAACGGAACAAGCCCCTTCAGTGCCAAATCAGAGCCCTCAGGATGGACTTCGCTCTCCGGCAGTCCAGCGGACTCGGTGAAACATATGAGCATTGTCGTGAGCAGCATTGACCCCTCCGGTTTGTCTGTCCCTTCCCTGGTGCACCCTTTGGCGGACCACTCCCTCGCCGCGCACAACGCAGTCTCTCCTCTGCCCCTTTGCTTCGACAAATCGGAAGGGAAAAAACGCAAGAACTCGAGTGCCAGCAGCAAAGCCTGTAAAATCACTAAAATGCCTGGAATGAATAGTGTTCATAAAAAGAGCGCAGCCAATCTCATCTCTCCGGGGCCGGATACGCCAAACGCCATCTCTCGGCCGGTAAGTGAGCTTTCATTGGTCTTAGAAACGGGTGTCGAACTCGATTTCATTGTGGGTTGTATTTGACCTGGGGGGGGCGGGACAGATGGGGGGGGCGTGGCCAGCTTGACGTCACTCATCGAAGCTCCGTTTTCAGCTGCAACAGGCTCTGCCAGCGAAAACGGAGCTTGGGGAGGTTGAGGGCTGCAGGAGCCTGTCGTGGCCGAAAACGGAGCCTGGGAGGGCCACATACACGGCCTCCCCAAGCTCTGTTTTCACTGGCAGAAGGCTGCAGGAGGTTGTTGTGGCCAAAAATGGAGCCTGCGGGGGTCCACTCACAGCCTTCCCAAGCTCTGTTTTCATCGGCAGAGGGCTGCAGGAGGCCGTCGTGGCTGAAAACGGAGCCTGGGAATTCTCCCAACCCCCATTTTTGCTGGAAGAGGCACTGCAGGCCAGTCCTTTGCTGTTTTCAGTGCGGCCCCATGGGCCATATCTAAGCACCCCGCAGAATGGATTTGTCCCGCAGGCCTTGACTTTGACACCTCTTAGAAGAAGTCTGTCTTGAGAAATCTCAGAATAGGACCCTTGTGGGATTTCCAGAAATCCCACCTACCCCCACCCCAAAAAATCAGCACGATCTGTTGTAGGACTGAAACCTCCTATGACAGCGTTTTTCATATCTCAGGATAGGTTGCTGGAAATAAACCTTCTTTTAATGTTTTTAAGAGCAATTAATTTTAAAAAATGAAAACTGTTCCAGTGAAATGCAGCAACCAGTGGAAATAAGAGTCTTTTTTGTTTATCATTATAGCATAGCATAGCATAGCATAGCATAGCATAGCATAGCATAGCATAGCATAGCATATAATACTTTATTGGCCAAGTGTGATTGGACACACAAGGAATTTGTCTTGGTGCATATTATTTGCAGATTATCATAATAATTTGCATTATTATTTGCAGATTGGGAAAAACAGTGGTGTAGCTTTGTCCCAGTCTAGTCCTTCAAGTACATCAAATCTAATGCACAACAAACAAGTGAGTTGGTTTGGGTTTTTTTAAAAATCACATTTAAATCATAATTTGCATCACTTAATTGCTGTATGATTATCAACAAATGTGGCTTCTCTTAGCAACTCCATTATTTTTACAGGTAGTCCTCAAGTTACAACAGTTCATTTAGTGACTGTTCTGACTTATGAACATTTTTCACACTTCTGACCGCTATAGCCTCCCTGTGGTCAAGTAATCAAAATTTGGATCCTTGGCAACTGGCTCATACTGTTAAGTTTTGTTTTGTTTTAAATATTTGTCACAATCCCATTTCTCATGTAAGGTGAATTGTTTTTATTTTCTCTTTCAGAAAACATTAAATCGGGCTGGTAGGATAAGGACTCTTCCATGAATAAGGAGAACAACCACTCTCTTATTTTTGCAGCCCTTCTCCAAGCCAACTTATTGGTTTCTGTGTCCTGCAGATTTTCCCCCCCGTAATTTTGTATTAAAATTGTTTCCCTTTTTCCCATAAAAATTGTAGTCATGGTTTACTTTAATTTCTTACATGTGATCGGTTACATTGCCTCTGATCGGTGCAATTGGTTTTAATTTTTTTAAATTAATGCCTTCGGGAGGAAATTATTGCGTTTTCTCTTTTCAATTTCTTGCAACAACGGAAGCAGTGGACATTTCAAAATAATGCCATTTGTGATTAAAAAGAACAGATTGAGCAAAGCTATTCTTTTAAATTTGTGGTAACTTCTGTATTAATTATTGTCCTCGGGATTAAAGGAAAATCTCCATCCTTTTTGCCAACTTAATGGCTACAAGTTTCAGTGTTTCTAGATTCTTTGAACGCACTGAATGGTTAATGCATCTAGCTATTGCCAATAATTAATAGGAATATTGTGTGACCATTTCCCTCATATCTAGATGAAGGGGCCAAGAAAAGGATTGTCCTTGGTGAAGCATTATTCTAAAATAAGGACAGAAGTTGGACATAACTGAATTTGCATCAGTAGAATTGCACTGACAATGTTTTTACAGGAATTACTGATTTTTTAAAAAAAAATGAAAGATTTTTTTGTAATCAGGAAACCAATTATACTAAGGTCCTACAAAATTACTACAAAGGAATTAACTTTTCTTTCTGCAGAATTAAAAGTGCACTTATATGCCAGATTTATTTACATCTTGGGGAGAAATGAAAATGAATGCAAATAGATTTATTAGCTTCTTTCCTTTTAAAGTAAAAGCTTACGGGCAAATTTTAAAGCATAGGAAATGTTTAACAACGGTAAACAAAGGCTAGGCCTCTTGGGGGAAATTAGAAAATATTCTCAAAATAATTTTTATAATGTTATTGTAATTTATGTTTTCTTATACTTGGGAAGCGACAAGAGTAGTTTCATGGATGATATGAAGCTAGGAAAAAATATAAGCAATGGTTGTATTTTTCATGTATTTTGAGTTACATTTTATTGTACATTCTTCAGATTGAAAAAAAAAGTACATATCTTTATTTTTGCACAATTTTTTGTCATTGGTAGTAGGAACAGAGCCTTGTTTTTTAAAAACTAATTTATTTGTGTTGTATAGCTGCAGGAGTTATCAAATTTCAGTAGCAAAACAACGCTCCAATGATCAAACTGCTGTTCTATGTTTGGGGTGGGGGGGAGAGATACGATGAATATGAATTTGAGTGGCTGCTGAAGGAACAATTTAATAATGTCAAGACTTCCTTAGCTTAACATGCATCTATTATGTAGAAAGCTGGATTATTGGTGGGTGTTTTAGGATAATGCTCATTTATCTCTTCATTTTCCATGACTTAGATCTCACAGCATTTTGGAAACCTTAAGTATCAAATACAGCCTTCCACATTTTGTTCCATCACCTTTTTTTTTTTTTTAAAAAAAAAAGGTCATTTAATTTATATATACTAAAATGGTATATATAATGTGGCTTTAAAAATGGAAATGGACCAGACCAACCTGTATTGCAGTGTAGTTATTTGTTAAATAGTTGGTTTTTTTTTTTTCCTCCTTTCCAACCATTTTCCCTTCTACACACCCAATTTTCCAGAAGACATGATTTCCAGCAATAGAGGCATAAGCTTTGGTCGTTAACACATGATGCAATGCATAGGCCCGTCAGCCATATTTAAAAAAAATTAAATGAAAAAAAGCAACTTGGATAACTTGTATGCCTTCTTTTGTATCGATGTTACCAATTTGTACATAGTGCTGATCAACCTTTGTAGAGAATAGTTTATACAGCATATTCTATTATTGCCGATTCTCAGTGAACTCTTGTTTAAAAAAGAAGAAATTTTTCTATGTACACCTTCTATTTTGTTACGCTGTTTTACCCATGGCACTTTAACAAAACTTTGGGTTTTACATAGCTGGTCGGTCATGGGAAATAAACAATTATAAAAAAAGAAAAACTGTTGCACAGAAGTGAAATTTGCACCTCCTCAATTATGCTTTCCTACTACAGATTTTAGAATCCTTTTCCAGAAGACTTTTGAAGACAAGCACGTCCAATCATTCTAAAAAGAAAAAAGATTGCCATATGTGTACAGTCGATTTCTTTTCTACGGATCCATATTTTGTAACACTATTTTCCTCCTCCTGCACCTTTTATGTATTAGCAGTATCAAGAAAGAACCCCATTCCATGCTTGTGATAATTGTAAGTGTTGAAAGTAGATGTAAATAGTAAAATTTATGACTTACAGTTTTGAGAAAAGGGAAAAATAAAGAACAAATGTATGTATCTAACTGATACTGCCATGGTTTTAGGACCAGGCCTGGAGATATTCTCTAGTGGGCGATTGTATTTCTTTTTGTTACTTGTTAGTTTTGCTTTATTGTTATTATTATTATTTGTAACATGGCTTTGTAAATAAAATAATTTATATGTTTCTAAGAAAAACACACGCAATGCTTTATCATTTTGTAAAAGAAAAAGGTCCAGGGTTATCTGGGAAAAATTATAAGCCTTGACACGACTTGGTAAAAAGCTTTTATTATTAGGATCTGCTCTGAATTAGAAATCCACTATCCAAAATAAGGAAATATAGTTTAGTTTTTCAGCTTGTCCTATGTGATGACTCCATTGTGACCATCAGAATACAAAAAGCCTCAAACAATCTTTGATTAAATAAAAAAGCCTCAAGTGAAAAGAATTTCACACAACACAGTATGTGTCTCGCACTACAATCTTATGGAGAACTCTTAGGGAAAGAAGGCCTTTGATATTCAAAAAGATTGAGTCATTTCAGAGCTACGTGTTAATCAGATCAGACAGATTTCACTAGGATTGACCCTAGCTGCTCTCAAAAAGTCTGATCTTGTTAAATCAACACAAGCTGAGTTAATTAGCAACACATGTTTCATAAGGCTATTTTAATTAAGCTATAATGGCTACTACACTGCAAGTAGTGCTTGACTTGCCATCATTTGTTTAGCGACTGTTCTGACCTAGGCTTCTCAAGATCATGAAGCAGACTCCTCATCCCAATAAAACCCCTTTTATTTAGGTTAAAGGGAATTCCTCTCCAGCAAAGTCCCAGCAAACATCTTTCGTGAGACTTCACAACTACAGATCTTTATCAGGCTTGGAGAGTTGCCAGGCTGATACCTTCCAAACGCCATGCTGTAGCAGAAATTACTTGGCAAGAAGTCAGGAACAGATCTTCACCCTAATGAATTGAACTAATTGTCTCCTGCAAACCCCACTCCCCTTTTGCTCCTCTTTTATTCCCTCTGGGAGGGGCCATTGACCATCCACCTGTGCCCTTACTCAGTTGACCCTTGTTCCTTAACTGTTCCCTTCTCCTGGCAGCTCTGCGCATGTGCACATTGGGAACAGACTCCAGCTGTTCTTCTGCCCCACTGATGTCCGACTCCAAAGGCAGCTGATAACTGTCAGGCAGCCCTGGCCCCATCTCTGCCTCCAACGCAGAGCCCTCGTCAGAGCCTTTCCCAGAATCCAGGAGTGGCCTATGTTCCTCCCCAACCACCTCATTCATTGTCCAAGTCTGCTGCCAGCTCTGCTGGCAGCTGTTGGGCCACAACCATCACCAATATTACAACGGCACTGAAAAAAATGACTATATATTGTTTTCTACACTTATAAGACCATGGCAGCATTTCCATGGTCACATGATCAAAATTTGATTATGTGAATTCTGGTCATGTCATTTTTTTCAAATGCCATGGTAAATTATGGTCACGAAATAAACGGTTATACGTCAAGCGCTATCTGCCCTTGTGAGTGTTGTCCATTGCCCAGAGTCATTTAATGGAGTTAGATGGCCATATACATAAACAAGCCTCAAAAACTTTAACCTTAGACTGTCTACTGTTGCCCTCACCCCATACTAGACAACACAGTATCAACAGTAGAGGCCTTCAAAATTCTATGTTCTATCATATCACAAGACTTAAAATGGACACCAAAAACGTCATCAAAAAAGCACAACAAAGAATGTTCTTTCTATGCCAACTCAGGAAGCTCAAACTGCCTAAGGAGATGCTGATCCAGTTCTACAGAGGAATTATTGAGTCTCATCTGCACCTCCATAACAGGACAGACACAGACTTCAGAGGGTAATTAGGACTGCAGAAAAAAACAATTGCTACCAACCTGCCTTCCATGGAGGACCTGTATACTGCACGAGTCAAAAAGAGGGCTGTGAAAATATCTACACACACCTCACCACATCCTGGACATAAATAGTTTCAACTCCCACCCTCAAAATGATGCTATAGGGCACTGCACACCAGAACAATTAGACACAAGGAGTTTTTCCCCACATGCCATCCCTCTGCTAAACAATTTCCTCAACACTGTCCAACTATTTACAAAGTCTGCACTACTATTACTGTTAATCTTCTCCTCACTCCTTATCGCCCATCCCCTCCCACTTGTGATTGTATGACTGAAACTTTGTCGCTTGTCTCCTCACGATTTATATTGACTGTTTCCTAGTATGATTTGATTGCTTATTGTACCCTATGACTATCATTAAGTGTTGTACCTTATGATTCTTGACCAATGTATCTTTTATGTACACTGAGAGCATTTGCATTAAGACAAATTCCTTGTGTGTCCAATCACACTTGGCCAATACAAGAATTCTATTCCTAAGAGGTATTTAAGGGGCATGCATAAGCACACCAACATGCCTATCACCCGTCTTAATGTTCCCTTTTGTTCGTATCTATTTCATATATTAATAATCATGTTTAAAGTTATATATATTATCAGATGGATGCTTGACAAAATAAATTAATAAAAGTAGATAAAGCATAAAATTGCTCTATGGGTCCCCAGATCTTTAACTAAGCTTGATCTTAACCAAAAGGCCGAGAAGCGAACTTTAAACAACTTCAGAAATTCAGAAATGTTTGCAAAATTTTGCATACATTTCAAACTGTCCAAAACCTCCCTATTTCCCGGCCCACGTGCTTTGGACCGGAGGCCACGCCCCTCCCGCTGTCGTAAACATTAGTCGCCGCTCCTCCCCGCTGACGTCACAACCCCCTCCCCAAGCCCTTAGGAACAACCGGGCGAGCAACCTGATTGGCCGAGAGCGGCCCCCTCCGTTATGGCGTTCCCCTGCGCGGCGCGTCCTTGGTCCGTCGCCTAGCAACGGCGATGGACCGAGAAACGGAAGGCCGCGAGTACCTGGCCCAGCACAAAATCCCGGAGCTTTTGTATAGTTTAACCTCGTTGCTTCTCTACCATCGGCCGGGTGAGAGATTTTACACGGGGGTTGCGTTTCCTAGCCTCGGGAAGACGAGCGGATTTGCCCTTGCACGGAGTATAAAGCGATAAAATGCGGGCTGGGATTGTTTTTTTTAAAAAAAAAATGGTTAAAAAAAAACACGGGTTTTTTGCATGGCTTCCATGGTGGCAGTCGTTGCCCGAGAGATGACCTGTGAGTAATTTACACAATAGGGCAGGAGAATCCAAACTTGTGGACTTCTACTCCCAGAATTCCCCAGCCAGCTATGCATATGGGGAATTCTGGGAGTTGAAGTCCACAAGTCTTAAAGTCTTAAAATCCACAAGTCTTAAAAGTGCCCAAGTTTGGAATCTCCTGTATTAGGCTAAACGTGTTTTTCAATCTCATCATCATTTAAGGTGGGTGGACTACAATACCCAGAATCCATGCCAGCTGGGGAATTCTGGGAGTTGAAGTCCATGAGTCTTAAAGTGCCCCAGTTTGGTGACTCCTGCATTAGACTAAAAGATGTTTTTCAACCTTGTCAGCTTTTAAGGTGGGTGGACTACAACAGGGGTCCCCAACCGCCGGTCCGCGGACTGGTACCGGGCCGCGGAACAAGCCTTACCGGGCCGCTGGTTGCTGGGCGCCGCCATTTTTTTTGACGAAAAATCACTTCCGGTGATGTCACCGGAAGTGATTTTTCGTCAAAAAAAGATGGCGGCGCCCAGCTGACGCCGGAACCGGGCCGCGGCGCCCAGCTGACGCCGGAACCGGGCCGCGGCGTCGAAAAGGTTGGGGATCCCTGGACTACAACACCCAGAATCCATGTCTGGCTGGGGAATTCTGGGAGTTGAAGTCCACAAGTCTTAAAGTGCCCACGTTTGGACACTCCTGTATTGGGCTAAAAGGTGTTTTTTAACCTTGACAGCATTTAAGGTGGGTGGACTACAATACCCAGAATCCATAGCTGGCTGGGGAATTCTGGGAGTTAAAGTTGAATTTTGGCAGTTATGAAAAGATTCAAGGACACGGATTGCAATTCTGTGCTTCTCTTGGCCAAGAAGGAAGATACAAACTGCCTGAGTGCCCAAAAGGTTAAGCCACAAAACATTGAATGCTTTAATGGTAATAGTTACCTGTCAATCATCATTTTAATTAAAAAA